TTCAGTGCGACTGTTTTTTCATCAGGTTCAGTGAATGCCGATCACTGCGAATGATGAATGCGGAAAATGTACAAGTTCATGCAGTCACAGGCAGAATGCGTTCCCTCTTCAAGCCCTGAGGGGGGCGACTCTATCTAAGATGGAGGAAAAATTTCGCTTTGCTGTTGTGAGATGCGCGCGTTGTTACTAGAGACCGAATACACCTATGCATTAGGCTTGGACAGGGATATATGCAAAAAAAAATTCTTGTTCCAGTATGATTTACGGGGTCCTTCTGGGTCCTAGAATAACTGTGTTAAATTTCAGGTCGGTCGGTGGAACTATATTTTAGCGCCAGCGGTTTTAATTTTACATAGGATTTTCTATGGGAAAACTTACTTTTTCAAATAAAAATCTAAATCCTCTAAAAATAAACCAACCCAACTTTTCCCTAAGAAATTTTACAAGGAAACTTTTCTTAGAAGACCGCAAAACGATCCGACGCTTGTGGAAAAAGTTATTTAGCCATTACTGATTGCTAACCAAACGAACTGCTCATTATTCTTTTTTTCTAGCGTGGGGGTTCACTCAGCATGGAGGAATGCCGATATCATGCGCAAAGAATCTTCGATTTTGATGAAACTTTACACAGGTTTCCGGTAAAGTACAACAATTATGTTTCACAGGGGTCATTTGGAAACAAGCGTGATTTTTCACAAGCGTGTATTTGCTTTGGCGCACAATTTATTCAAACCTTATCAGGCGATGTGCTGCTGCTCAGACTTCAATATTTCATCGGCTTCATTTTTCGGTGGTACTCCACAACTTGCAGTAGGTATTCATGTTGTTTGGGATTCTTGGTTACCGAGTTGTTGAGGTCGGAAACAAGCTTTACGGCCCTTTTCGCGACATCATTCACAACCCCAAGGGCTTGAACTCGCTGCTGCGCTGTTAAATAGAAAAGAACCGCCGTCACTTTCAATAATTTTGAAGCACTTTTTGTGTTCAAAATCGAAACAATGTTTATGAAAATATGTCACTCTCTGATTGAAAATTTTCCAGCTGAATCGAAGCTTTGATCCTGATGTACCTTTGCTAGTACACTGGGATGGAAAGATTCTGCCTGACATCAACGGAAAGCGCGTTGATCGGCTTCGCAATCTTGTTACTGGAGCAGAGGTGTCTAAACTTCTTTCGGTACCTTGCCTATCAAGTGGAACGGCGGATGCTGAATCAGCTGCGATAATGGAGACAATCAACGAGTGGGGTCTGCAGGAAAGAATAGCTGGAATGAGCTTTGATACAACTAGTGTTAAATCTGGCGTAAAAAATGGTTTTATAACCTGTCTTCCAGTTCTACTGAAAAGAGACTTCACGGCGAATGAGAACGACCAAAATTTGAGTTTAGTTCACTCATAATCGCCAAAAGTGCAGAAACTCAGCGATGAGTAAATTTGTCGTATGGTTTCCTGTGAAAAACCTAAAAAATCTGCCGGAAAATGAGGAAATTGATGAAAATTTTATTCAGTCTCGGAGTAGTGAATCCAATCTTTACTTTTCTCAAATTCGGAAATTTTTCCCTGAAAAATCCTGGAAAAACATGAGACAAATTTTACTCATCGCTGAGTTTCTGCACTTTTGGCGATTATGAGTGAACTAAACTCAAATTTGGGTCGTTCTCATTTGCCGTGTTGCTACCATTGGCATGCCGCCATCACATCGCCGAAATTGTATTCAAACACGTTTTACAACACGAAATATATGGCGATAAGTCGAAGTCGAACAATCTCGATTCTGTCAATGAATTCAAAAAAGAATTCAACCAAAATCGGAGCAACCGAAAATTCCGGAGCTGAGGACCTTAACTGAACCATGGAGAGACGGAATCATCGCGTTTTGTAACGACCAGCTGTTGAATAAACATCAACAATCAGATTACGAAGAGCTCCTCGAATTGGTCGTAATGTTTTTAGGTGGAGTTCCTCCAAAAGGATTAAGATTCCACAAATCAGGTAGCTTTAGCCGTGCGAGGTGGATCGGTGGCGAAAAATCATCATTTTGAAATCGTGGATGTGCAGCGAAAACTTCGATTATCAGTCTCTTTGGAAGCATACCACAACTTTGGCTCTATTTCTATCACAATGCTTCATTCGATATTGGTGTCGTCTAAGTAGTTCTGTTTCGGCCCCTCGAGTGGATCTGGAATTTTGAGCAGATCTCCACAACTTTCACGATCAACATTACGCTTTGATTGCCATGAAAGCCTTTCAAAATCATCTATGGTACTTATCAGAATGGAACGCGGCCCTTGCTTTTTTCGATTCAAAAGTAGAAATAGACTCTGATTGATTGATTTCTTTATTAAAGACGAAAGAGTAAAGAAACTACCAGCTTTAAATGAGCCAAAAAAATCGATCGAAAAATCCGGAAAACAACGCAAACTCAGCGAGGATAAAGTTCCCGTCAGAGCAACTAACATCAGGTACCATTCGACTCTTTCGGACTTTATTACTGAGGCTTCAAGTGAGTTTTTTACTGTAATGAACATCTCCACCGATTTTCTCGGTGAAAACCCTGAACAAGATTATCTGAGAGGTAAGTAAATATAACAAATCATCAAGATCAAAGTTATTTTTTGTTTATTTATCTTGTTCATGAATATGTATTCACTGTTACCAACCGAAAGCGAGTTCAAGCTCTTGGGGTTGTGAATGATGTCGCGGAAAGGGCCGTAAAGCTTGTTTCCGACCTCAACAACTCGGTAACCAAGAATCCCAAACAACATGAATACCTACTGCAAGTTGTGGAGTACCACCGAAAAATGAAGCCGATGAAATATTGAAGTCTGAGCAGCAGCACATCGCCTGATAAGGTTTGAATAAATTGTGCGCCAAAGCAAATACACGCTTGTGAAAAATCACGCTTGTTTCCAAATGACCCCTGTGAAACATAATTGTTGTACTTTACCGGAAACCTGTGTAAAGTTTCATCAAAATCGAAGATTCTTTGCGCATGATATCGGCATTCCTCCATGCTGAGTGAACCCCCACGCTAGAAAAAAAGAATAATGAGCAGTTCGTTTGGTTAGCAATCAGTAATGGCTAAATAACTTTTTCCACAAGCGTCGGATCGTTTTGCGGTCTTCTAAGAAAAGTTTCCTTGTAAAATTTCTTAGGGAAAAGTTGGGTTGGTTTATTTTTAGAGGATTTAGATTTTTATTTGAAAAAGTAAGTTTTCCCATAGAAAATCCTATGTAAAATTAAAACCGCTGGCGCTAAAATATAGTTCCACCGACCGACCTGAAATTTAACACAGTTATTCTAGGACCCAGAAGGCCCCCGGAAATCATAATGGAACTGGAATTTGAATTTTGTCCCACCCTACTATGCATCTCCACGGGTGTCACAGAAGAGACGTTTTGTTAATAGTGAGGATAAATGAGATCTGGACTCACTTTGGAAATTTAATTCTTCTAGTGGAGCTTTGTACGAATATTATAAGGAAATTCAAGTTTTGGCGTTCCTGTCCCCAACGGAGATTTCGTAAGGATTCGAATGTATTACCAAAAGTCCTTTCGCCAGTTGCTTGTAATATTGGCCAGTTGCTTGTAAAAAGTAGTAATTTTACGTGCTGAGACAAAAAAAAGCCTAGTAGGGAATCCATTCGACCGCAGCCATTGTTTCCTCCTTGCCTATGGGCGCATTTCGCGCCAAATCGAATCGAAGCTGGCAACACCCTCTCAGATTTCAATGAAATTTTCTGGATGTGTAGACTTTGACTAAATGTCACAAGATGCAATAATAGAAAATATGCTTTGTAATATTTCAACTAGAATAACTGATTGCTTCTTCCATGCTTGCAAAAAGTGTGCTTCCAATGAACATATTGAAGAGGAACTTACTTTGCTATTAGAATCAAATGACAAACAAGATGTTGTGTTTCAACAGTGGCTGAATACTGATCGTTGTAATTTGGAAACGATTATCAAGCCTGTTGATGAATTTTTCCATATCTCGTTGATAAAATTAACAAACTTATAACTCATGACTTTATTTACAAACAACAGTCATCTTTTCTAAGAAATCAAAAAGAATCATTAAAGGAAGGGAAAATTCTAGCAATTTATGATTTTCCAGAAAATTATTCATTTATTATCCAAAACGCTGCTCAAGGATATCACTGGAATAATTCTCAAGCAACAATACATTTATTTGAAGTTTATTCTAAGAAAGACAATAAACTTGAAAATGTTAGCTTAATTATCATATCAGAAGTAATGAACCACGATACAGTGGCAGTTCAGTTGTTCATCTCAAAAATGATAGATTTTATTAAACAATCGATAGATTTTTTTTTAAATTACTTTTATGTCAGATGGGGCAGCATCACAATACAAAAATAAAATAAACTTTGCTAGTCTGGGTAGATTTCAGTCGAAGCATGGATTAAAGACTGGAACGCGCAAAAAATGGTCGACAAAAAATCGTGGTTGATTGTGATGTCCTTTCGGCCCCCCTGAAGACCCTACCTCCTTCATGGCCCAGTGTGATCACGCTTTCTAGCAATTTAGTTTAAACTAGCGATTAGTGGTTATTACACGGACTGACGACAGCGACGGCGACGGACGATTCGAAAAAAAAATGGCTGTTGTGAGTTGATGTGAGTGGATGAGTAATAAGTGACACGGAGTTCAAACGGTGTTAGAAATATGCACCAATTCGTCAGAAGGGTGTGTGTGTGTGTGTGTGGGTGTGTTATTCGGATTAGTATTGGACATTCAATGTGAGTGTGGGGACGTGTTTGGTTTTGCATCCTTCCTTGCAGTGATCAGAATATGTAAAAAAAAATGCATTGGATCAAAAGATAGGGTGTTTCATTTGTTTTTTTTTTTAAGTTGGTGAAAGAAGACACAAACTTATGCGCGGGAGGAGATATGGTGGAGGAAGAATTGCTTTAAGAATGAAGTTTTTTTTTTTGTTTTAATGGCGGTGGCTGTGGTGGTTGATTGGAGAATGGTTTACCTTAACTTCAACTCCTCGTCTATATAATGCAATAGACTCCTAGAAAAAGAAAGAGAGAGAGAGAGAGAACGAACAATGCAACGGATTCGAAATGGATTAGCGACGTGTGTTTGATTTGGGGGACTTTAGCAGGAATGTGTAGGTATAGCCTTTTGATGCTTACTGCTATGATTGGAGAAGGTTGCAATCTTTACGTTTTCGCTTTCAGAACTGCCATATTTGTGAGTAATTGTCTACTTGCATGTGTCAGAGTGTGTCAATGAGAAGCTGTGTTTATGTTGTGAGTGTTCATGGCAGGCAATGTGTGAATTTCCATCAAAGTATTTATGTGTTTGGGTAAGTTAGGGATTCGAATTCACTTGGGTACTACTTCATTCGCGGTGCAACAGCGCGTAACATGTGTGTGAAACCGGGATTCGGTTAAATTGTCATCTTGTTTTTTTAGTAATATTACTGCCATTTAAATAAGTATGAAAAAAAATTAGATAGAAACATCTCGACGGCAATTCTAGTGAATATCGATTATCGGTAAAAAGACAACGTTTAAAACAAAAGCATTATGGATATCGGTGGTATTGCCACGCACTTACATATCACTAGGTAGAGTTTCAGGACTAGATGATCGATCATTCTCCAACGGTTCTGCGAAAGTAAAGTTAGAATCAAATTTGTCTTTCCCCGAACCGTAATCATTATCGCAATCAACCACAACTTACTACACATGTACACCGGACTAGGAGAATGGATCTTGCTCGTAATTCTTTGTGGTCCAATTGCAACAGCCTGAAACGGTAAAACGATAGTAAAACAACCATCACGAAAATCCATCGAAACACCAAAACCTACCCCTTCTTCCTCGACGTCGTGGTAGAAGTAGCTCTGAGGAGGACTATGGTACTTTTGCAGCAGCTCCATTGCCAACCGTACGGACATCTCCGACTGGAAGAAGGCATGCTGCAGTAACCGTTCGGCCGTTGGTCGTTTCTTGGGATTCTTCGTCAGGGCCACCTTCAGGAAGGAGTGAAAGTTCGTGCACCACCGTTCCTTGTCCTTGAGCGTGGGCGGCTTGAAGCCACTCTTGGACATTAGGAACAGTGCCCGCATCGGGTGCAGATCGAACATCGGCGGCTGCAGTTCGGCCAGTTCTAAATCGAAACATTTTGTTTTTTAATCACTTGCACTTGTCCTTGATCGATCAATGAAATGTTACCAATAGCAGTAATGCCGCAGGCCCAGATATCACAGAGGTGGTTGTAGCCACCTTTTCGCTCCACAGCTGCCACCTCGGGGGCCATCCAGTACGGTGTCCCTGAGGAGAATTTCATCAAAATTAGTAAACCACCAACTAGTTCGGACAGCAAAACAAACAAAGAACTACCTCGAACGTAAAGGCAGACTCGTTAATTGCACCCGCTAATTAAATCACCCACATTGATCAAGCGGAACGCGCACCTCCGCCCGCCTTATGATTCATTGCCTTGTTGAAACAAAAGCAAAACCGAAACTCACCAATAAAACTCCTCCGCTTGTTGATGGTCGCCGTTATCTGAGCCGAGACGCCGAAATCCGCCAGCTTCACGTCACCCTTCTCCGTCAGCAGGATGTTCGCTCCCTTGATGTCCCGATGGATTTTACCCATCGAATGCAGATAGGACAGCCCCAGCAGCGTTTCCCGGCACATGTACGCAATCTGCAGCTCCGTCAGCGGTCCGGTAACCTGGTAGATGTCTTGCAGGCTGCCACCGCCGCAGTACTCCATGCAGATCCACAGCTTATCGTGCCGCAGGTACGACCCATAGTACGAGATGATGTTCGGATGGCGACAGTCGCGCATCATCACAATCTCCTGCTGGATAATTTGGATGTCATCGCCCGGCTCGAGCTTGATCACCTTGATGGCCGCTAGTTCGTTGGATTGGAGTTTCTTGGCCTGGAAGTGAAATCAGAGAGTGCGATTAGTCAATTAGGTAGTAGAAACAAACGCATCTGTTTGAAGCATGAAACATGGCATGTGATGAGATTTTATGCAACGTTCAAGGGGTTTGTGGCATACGGTAATAAATATGTGTGATGATTCTGAACGTTACTAGAAGACCATGATAAGTTTAACGTATAATACTGAGCTTGGTGGCAGTGACAATCAACACAGTGTCGACTTAAGGTCATTAGATTTGCTCTCTCGATGCCTTCCCGATTTTAGCAATACGACTTCACTAGCTATTGAAATATCAAATGAGTTTTGAAGAGCATTAGGTGGGATAATTCTGGGAAAATTCCAAGTGGATTCGACTTAATAATTTTAAGAAGTATTTCAGTAAGCAGTTCTGAAGAGACTGTTACGGGGATTGTGAACAGAATTCCTGGGATTTATAGTGCAAATTAAATGTAAAAGGGGAGCCTTCTAAGGAAATTCGAAAAAGAATTCAAAGTGAATTAACCCTCCCATAAACTTAATGACGGTAGGACTACAATTCTGACATTGTCTTTAATGACCCAATTATTATAATTGGGTCTTTAAAGACAAGATGTTCATAGTTCTTAATGTAAACAACTCTGTAACATTGAAACTACACTATTTATTTTCAGCCAGTATTTGCTGAATTCCAAGCTAAATAGTTTGAAGACAATGGTTTCATGGGAATCCCTAGGAGACTTCAAACTGAACAATGCATTAGGTCCTAGATAACATTGATCGATTCTATTCATCGACTTTCTCTTTCGTTAATAATTTGGGTTCAGAACCGTTTCTTGTCGTGTGTCGTGTCGTATTAGAAGCTAAATAATAGCTTCTTTCATCGATCTGTGCGCTGAAAATAATTGGGAATATCTTAACATGACCGTGAGGATGCAAAGAGAGGAACTCGACGAAGAGAATCTGGCAATGTTACTTAGGACCTAATGCATTGTTCAGCTTGACTTCTTAAGATTTTGAGGGAATTTCCGCTTGGAATCTAAAAACTAGAATCCAAATTGGAATTTTAAGCATATTTCCAGGGAGATTCGAAGGAAACTTCCAAGAGAATTCCGAGAAGAATTTCAAGGGAAAATTCTCAAAACAGTTCCATATGAATTCGAAGGAGAGTTTCAAAATAATTCCGAAGAGAATTCCAAGAGATTCTCTCAAGGGCTTTTGAGAAGAATTCCAAGATAATACAGAGAAGCAGTTCCTTGAAATTCTGATGTGAGTTCCAAGGTAACTTAAGGGTAATACTTTGGGAAACCTGAGGTCAATTCCAAGGGCAGAAGAATCCTGAGAATATAATTAATACATTCGCAGATAAATCATCGTAAAAGCAGCAGTATCATGGCGCAATATCGATCTCCTCTCCACTTCTGTTTGGACGCCTTCTCGGCTCTCTCGACCACTGTCCGAATTGCATCCACCGTCGATCTCCCCTTCCGGAATCCGAAGTGCCTCTGCGACAATCCGTGCTCACTCTCCGTGCATTTCGTCAGCCTGTCTAGGATGATCCTCTCCAAGAGTTTTCCGAGTGTATCCAGCAGACATAGAGGCCTATGCGATGCTGGATCCCTCGACGGTTTTCCTGGTTTCGGCAGCAACACTAACTTCTGTATCTTCCACCTGTCAGGGAAGTGACCCTCGTCCACGCATTTCTGCAGCACTATGCTGAACATGTCCGTGGACGCCTGGATCGCCTGGACCCGGGAGCGTTCTTCACCTTCAATTCTCTCGCCACTGCTACGAGTTCATCGGTGGTGACTTCGACGTTATCTCCCTCTCCCTCTCCGTACGGTGTAGGTGGCCAAGTCGTTGGGTCATGCTTCGGGAAAAGTCCTTCTACGATGACTTTCTGCTTCTCTGGGCACATTTCAGCAGACATCGTTGGACCTCTGATCTTCGCCATCACGACTCGGTATGCGTCGCCCGAGGTGTTGGCATCAGCGTCTCGAAACAGCTCCTTAAATCAGTTTGACTTGCTTTGCTTTATCTATCGTTTAAGTGCGGCCCTAGCCACTCGGAACACTCCTCTACGTTCCTCTCTGTCTGCTTCTGTTCTTGCTCTATGAACACGTCTTCTGGCTCTGAGACAACTAGCGCGGAGGGTGCTAAGTGCCTTGTTCCACCAGTAAGCTGGACGCCGTCTATTATATAGCTCCAGTTTCCTCGGCATCGTCGTGATACATGCTCTCACTAACGTTTCTGTCAGCTCGTCCGCGTTCAGATCCGCGGGACACCTCTCCATACGGAGTGCTTCAACGAAAAGATCCTTGTCGAAAGTCTTAGTCTTCCACTTCCTGTCAAAAGTTCTCGTCCTCCGTACTGCCAAAGTATTCCGTCAACTGATGCTCACTATGGGTATATCCTTCGCACACTCTCCAATTCATGATTGCCACCAGCGACGGACTTCAAAAAGTTACTTCGATAATTGATTTCCAGTGATTCCTGCTAAAAGTGCCTTCGTTGGACAGTCTAACTTCCAGCTTTGTCCAGAGCTTTCAGCAGACTGTGCCCTCTTGCGTTGGAACATCTGCTTTCCCACTCCACTGCCTAAGCATTGAAGTATCCTTCGGTGACTACCGGTCTTCGTCCGATCAGCTCTTCGGTAAGTCCATCCAGCTCTATCTACGGAGTGCGTAGCAACTGCATATGAAGATTCCGTTAATTTTGGTAATCACGAAACCTTCGTTTGAGCTCGTAATCACTTCTTGAATGGGGTAACTTGTATTTCAGCAATCCCGGCTCTATCCAACACCCAGTAACGACCGTTAACCGTTATATATAGTGACCAATCGAAGCCATGACGTCAAAATCGTCATCGGAGATCTTAACGCTCAGGTCGGCCAGAAGGAGGAATTCAGACCGGTTATAGGAAAGTTCAGCGCTCACCAGCTAACGAACGCTAACGGCCTTAGACTCATCGATTACGCCACCTCCAAGAGCATGGCCATACGTAGTACCTACTTCCAGCATAGTCTCCCTTATCGGTACACCTGGAGATCACCGCAGCAGACAGAATCGCAAATCGACCACGTTTTGATCGACGGAAGGCACTTCTCGGACATTATCGCGGTGCAAATATTGATTCGAACCACTACCTTCTAATGGTCAAGGTGCGCCAAAAACTCCCGTTGCCAACAACATTCGGTACCGACGCCCGCCACGGTACAATCTGAAGCGACTGAAGCTGCCCGAAGTCACAACTGAGTACGTGCAATGCCTCGACGCAGCGTTGCCGTATGAGGGAGAGCTCACCGAAGCCCCTCTTGAGGACTGCTGGAGCAACGTGAATGCAGCCATTAACAGCACCGCTGAAGGCGCCGTTGGGTTCGTGGAGCGAAATCGACGGAACGATTGGTTCGACGTAGAGTGTCAGACGGTTTTGGACGAGAAGAACGCAGCGCGGGCGGCGATGCTGCAGCAAGGAACCCGTCATAATGTGGAGCGATATAAACAGAAGCGAAGACGCAAACCCATCTTTTCCGGTATAAGAAGCGCCGCCTGGAAGAGCTGGAGTGCGAAGAAATGGAGCAGCTGTATCGTTCTCAAGAAACACGCAAGTTCTACAAGAAACTCAACGAATCCCGCCAAGGCTTTGTGCCGCGAGCCGAAATGTGTCGGTATAAGGAAGGGGGTATCTTAACGGACGAACGTGAGGTGATTGAAAGGTGGAAGCAGCACTACGATGAACATCTGAACGGCGCAGAGGCAGAGGACCAAGGCGGCAGGAGGAATGGCTTCGTCGGTACAGAGGATGAGGGGGACATGCCAGCTTCCACGATACGTGAAGTTAAGGATGCTATCCGACAGCTTAAGAACAACAAAGCAGCTGGGAAAGATGGTAGCGGAGCGGAACTTATCAAAATGGGCCCGGATAAGTTGGCCACTTGTCTGCATCGACTGATAGTCAGGATCTGGGATACAGAACAGCTACCGGAGGAGTGGAAAGAGGGAGTAATATGCCCAGTATATAAAAAAAGGCGACAAACTAGAATGTGAGAACTATCGAGCGATCACTATTCTTAACGCGGCCTACAAAGTGCTTTCCCAGATCATCTTTCGCCGTTTATCGCCGCTAGCAAGCAGATTTGTGCGAAGTTATCAAGCCGGTTGACGGGCGATCGACAACGGATCAAATCTTTGCGTGGTGGCAGATCCTTCAAAAGTGTCGTGAATATCAAGTCTCTACGCACCACCTATTCATCGATTTCAAGGCCGCTTATGATACTATTGACCGTGAAGAGCTATGGAGGATTATGAACGAGAACGGTTTTCCCGGGAAGCTGACCAGACTGATCAGGGCTACGATGGATGGTGTACAGTGCTGCGTGAAGATATCGGGTGCGTTATCGGACTCGTTTGAAACTCGCAAAGGACTTCGACAAGGCGATGGTCTTTCCTGTCTCCTGTTCAACATTGCGCTAAAAGGTGTTATGAAACGTGCGGGCTTTAACATGCGGGGCACGATCTTCAATAAGTCCAGCCAGTTCATCTGCTTCGCTGACGACGTGGACATTGTCGGAAGAACGTTTCGGGCCGTGGCGGAGCAGTACACCAGGCTGAAACGTGAAGCAGAGAAGGTTGGATTAAAGGTGAATACGTCGAAGACAAAGTATCTGTTAGCTGGAGGAACCGAGTGGGATAGGGCTCGCATAGGCAGAAGCGTGACAATCGACGGAGATGAGTTCCAGGTGGTGGATGAATTTGTGTACCTCGGATCATTGGTGACGTCGGAAAACAACTGCAGCAGAGAAATTCGTCGGCGTATTATTGCCGGAAGTCGTGCTTACTACGGACTCCACAAGACCCTGAGGTCGGGTAAACTTCATCTCCGTACTAAATGTACCATGTACAAGACGCTGATAAGACCAGTAGTTCTCTACGGGCACGAGACGTGGACGATGCTCGAGGAGGAACTGCAAGCACTGGGTGTTTTCGAACGACGAGTGCTTAGGACCTTCTATGGCGGG